GCAGAAAATGTACTGTCGATCAGCAATGTAGTAACGAATTCACCGAAGGTTCCTCTTGGGACTGAAAGACGATCTTTAAACCCAGATCAGACAGCCATCATGAGACTTGCTGATGTATGCGAAAATCAGAGTTCTGAAGGCAGTGCACACGATCTCACCTAGGCCTGTGGCGCTTTTTGCCTCAAACGGGGTGTCCGTTTAATGGAAACTTCGAAGTAAGAACTATAAATTCTATAATAGATGTGCTATCTCATGAAAGTTTAAAAAACCTTCAAAATGTATTTCCGGTTAGACGGATCGAGTCCAGTAGGTTTATAATACTAATTCTCCAATAGGGAAATATGAAGATCATTCAATCATGATAGGATATCGGTCTTACAACGAGCTTCTTCCCAACTACGTGCAAACGTCATAACTATGTAGTATGCAATTTTCGATGTCCTTTAAAATTCAAATCTACCTTATGAAAAAAGCACAAAAATATTCGGTTTTGTTCTAATTTCAAATTTAATAGTTGAAAATGACCGTCTTTCGGTTTTTGAATACTTTTCAGTTACCGAATGATAACCAAATTATTGTTAAACTTAAATCCATGATTTTCAAAATACAAGCCGTGTCTTTCTCGTCTAAGGAAAATAATAAATTTATATATGCTTTTGTGAAGATTTAACAACGGTTTGTACAACTAGGTGGTGGATGTGAGCCATATTGTATTCTTTACAAGCAGCGATAATGAATGTACAGATAATGAGTTTCGTGAATGGACATCTCACCGTCGTAAGGAACTTACTTAATAAATAATTAAAAGTTAAATTTGGTCTTCAATCAAATATAGCATATAAGAAAAACCTAATATGCTACCAAAGTTAAACAAGAAAGTATATTTTGTATACCGTTTCCATAACATATTGCCAAATTTGTGAGGACATGAAAAATAAGTGGGTAAAATTCATAATGTATAAATAGTCAACTTTTACCGATTTTAGTCCTTGAACTTGCGCATCACTCAAAAGTAATTACATTGTCGTGGCTCAAATATTTCACAATTATACTGAAAATCGTAGTGTTGAGCAGAATTTCAAGAAGATCAGAAGCTCGTCGCACTCGAACTCTCGACATAATTACAAAGCAATGTGGCGAAAGGAAATTTCTCTCAATATACATGAGATGACATGTTTAAGATTAGACCTTACAAATAATTTCAAATTTTTCAGTCACTAACTGACATGTCCACATGTAAGCTTACGAAATAACTTAATCCTCTGACGTCGGCATCGGCACAATCAAGTGAAAATCTGCTTAAATTAGTCCAGCGTATTGCCAGGGAGATGGAAATAAAAAAAACAAGTCATTTTTTGTTCCATGTGCACTCTACGCTCCAGTGCTGGGCAGGGGTTTCCTTGGCAGAGCACGAATGTTCTTATTTATATTTACATGCCTACTCCCACGCTTCCCGTAAGACAGAAAATTCGGGCTTTTTACATAAGATATCGCTATCCCACCCTAACCCTTACCCTGAACCTTTCGCTAACCCTAACTGAAATTCATTGAGTAGGCATGTAAATATAAATAAGAACACTTGTGCGCTACCAAGGAAACCCTTGCCCAGTGCTGTTCTAACTCTGCAATATATGATACCTTATATTTAGCGCAATGTGGAAACCTACTTATCCGAAAATGTCACTAACGCACTATTTTTATACATTATTCTGTTTGTGCTAT